GCATTTCTTAACCGATTCTTCGCTTTCACTCTTGGTCGCTTAAGTGATTTCAGATCGCTTAAGCGATCATTTGAGAAAAAATCTTGGTCACTTAAGAGATATATGTGGTCGCTCATGTATCGTTTAAGCGATCATGACAAAAAGAGAAGAATCCTACATTTCTCCTGAATTATGTGATAATATGTCATTTATAACTCTTTTTCCTCCCAAATTCGAAAAGAATAAGAAGAAAATGAAGTCATTTATGTCAATCTAATCCATCACAGATCCGAATATAAGAGACAACAATGTAACTGAAAGTTTAAACTTAAAATAATTCATAATAGTGCCAAAACAGAATAAATCCTAAGCCACTTTGACAAGTTTTGGAATTCGGTATAATTATTGTCTGAGATCATTCTTTGGTACCATGCCTTGCCAGCAGCCTTGATTGCAGATGCCGCCACTTTAACAAGTTTTCAAATTTGGTATAATCACTATCTGAGATCATTTCATGGTACCATGGCTTGCCAGCAGCCTTGATTGAAGATGCCTCCTCCTGGCCACCAGCCTTGATTGCAGATGCCTTGTCGGCAGCCTACTTTGACAGCCCAAGCCAGTTTGAGGAGTTCCCTCTCATTGTTTGCCAGCAACCTGCAAAATTATCCGGCACACCTACAGCCACGTCAGCTTTTGTAAATAAAACACAAAAAAACAAAAAGTTTTTTAGGGCCAATTTGTTAAATGGAAAGTTGGGATGTCCGGGGAGTAAAATTTTCTCTCTTCATGAACCCAAGTTATGGAGTGCAAGATTGAAAAGTTCACTGAGTCCGTCTATTTCGGTAAAGCTGTGTATAAGCATGACACCTGTAGCATCAATACCACAACCCAAGTATTAACATCAACATCACATAAACTACAAAATTAAAAGTACAAGTTCCAAACCTTTTGATTGGGTTGTGGTCACTCAAAACGGATCCATTTCCCCATGGAAGCGCTCAACAGCACAGCGCTCCCGAAAGATGGTCATTGTTTCGTCATTCAATCCGTCCATCGGGCTGTTGGTCATGTCGAACTGAATAAATTTCAGGGCATATGCCCCACAATCAACACTGTAATAGGAAGATGACATTAGCATTAGAATCAGCTTATAGAACAATTCTATTATGTAAGTTAGTTTTATACAAAATTTACCTTGACTCATTTGTTGGGACGGGAATGCGCTTGAGTGGCCACTTTCCCGTCAATGCTTCATCACCGAGGTGCTCAAACATCCCGCTCTCGCATAACAGCCGTGGCTCCAACTCGGCCTCCAACCGTCTGTCTCGACAAATTGTTGGGTTGCAGTCAAGGATCTTCAGTAACCTCTCCTCTAAGAGCATGACAACTGTTATCTAGTGCATTTCCTTGACCAGGATGATGCAGTAGACACTTTTAACCTTTGCCCAACTGTGGCCATATTTGGGCCTGTCCCCCATTACATACTGCATCACCTATTATCAAACTTAAAATCATTAGGGACGCAGTCCAAGTCTTCTGTGCCTGATTGTTTTCGCTTTGCTCCTTTTGCTACAGATGTACCAATGGCCTTTTTCAATAAATTGTGATATATTGATACCAGTGTTTGGCCAAAGGCCACATCGATGATAGCACAATTGGGATACAGTAGATCACCATCGATGGTTTGTCACAGCCTCATTAGTGCCAATACCTCATCGATGTGCTGCATCAAATAAAAACAACATAATAAGTATACAATACCTCATGGAAAACATACGCAAAAATAAGGAAAATTAAGCGAAAATAACTCACCGAGTCGTGAAGCCAGCTGCCCATCGTCAAAATCTTTTCAAACCAATACCAAGAATAATCCCCGGTCTTACACTTTACAAGGGCATCACTTTCGGATTCATTGTAATAGGCATAGAAGGGTTTTTTCTTTTCCTCCTCTATTGGCCTATACAAATCGACAATGGACTCCATTTTTGCTTGCCCGCTTTCTCCCCCTTCCTCCATTTGTACATCCCTGCTTCCTTTGCCTCCCGCCTCAACCTCCTCCATTATAACTACCCCACTTCCTCCAGAAACCTCTTTAACCCCCTCAATTTTGGCTTCTTCCTCAATTTGTTTCTTTGTTTTTCTCTTAATTCCACGTGTTAGTACGGTGTAAGGCGATTTCACAAACCTGCTCTTTCGGCTCTCTCTTTTCAGCCCAGGTTGCACTTTAACCGCCTTCAATACTCCACCAACTTCCTCTTGCACCCTACCAACTTCCTTCTCCACCCTAACAACTTTCTTTGCCACCTTATCCACTTTCTCCTCCACCATTTTCAATTGCTCTTCCATCTTATCAAACAAACTCTTTATGAGGTCAACCACCTCACTCTCCCGACCCTAACACCTCGGTAAAGCAGTACTTGTTGTACCGGTTTGCTGAGGCATACGAAGCTCTTCCTCCCTCCCCTCCTCCTCCCTCCCACCGATTGCACCTTCATCCTCCTTGGCGTCAACCACATTCTCAAGCAGTGGCCTTGTAACTGTCCTCACATGTGTGACCCCTTGTAGGTCCCGCGTCAGGCGGTCTATCCCTTCATCCCTTTGATCCTCCAATGCTCGGAAAGATGTGACATAGTGCTGTTGCGCTTCACCCCCAGTAGCGGTGAGGAAGGGATGGATAACCCCCTGCAATAAGAAACAAAATCAATCAGATTTAAGCGACATTTTAAAGCAAGTGTATGTTCAAAAGTTTAATCCTTTAATCTTACCCGAGCTGATTGAATTTCAATCTCTATTTGCTCATAATCCGAATGGGTACACTTCTGGTCGTGCCACCGCAACATCCTAGGAAATGTCTATTGCACAACCGAAGCCCTAATCCTCCCTCCTTGCTTAGCCAGGATAGGGATGACCTCATACATCCAAGCCTACATTGTAAAAAAACAGTCCATATCATAATTCAAACACATATATCAAAAAAAATATAACAAAAAGCTATTAATATTTACCTGCATTGCCCATGGGAAGCCAAACAAATTGTACGTCGCTGGTCTATGCTTCTCGGCCCGTTAGGAGTGCTTTAACGCCAGGTTTTTTGCTTACAGGGACTCCATGGTTCGCTTAAATGATACCCGTCCCCACGGATAAGCATTAAAGAAGTTCAAGTTACTTACAAACTTCACCCAATCAATATCAACGGCTTTTGTTGGGTCACTAGCCATTACGATCGAATGTAAGAACAATACCAAGCACAGTTCGAACGTCTCTGAATTGTTAAACTCACCATCTTTTAACCTGTATTCTAATTCCTGCGCCTTAATAGACTTGTTCCCCGCCAAAACCTTGTTAGCCAACCTTTTGGCTCCCGTACTGTCCGTTATTCTTTTTTCCTTAACCTCACCTGGCAATTCTCCACATCTTAAGCCAGTCACCAACGCATATTCCATCATCCCGAAAGGTAGTGGCTTTCCATCCACCATGAACCATATTTCGTGCTTTTTGTTGCTTTTTATTGAGTGCATCAACATATAATGCACTCCCGACCCTCAGAATGTCTTTTTCCATTTTGTGTCCATATCCCAAAAATGACTGAAACAAGTCTATTTGAATCTCCTTTCACCATTCCTCACTGTCCCTAAAATCCCCGTTATTCTCGTTAAAACATCCCAACTTGACCTCACTGTCACCCTCACAGGGAAGTACGGTACCGTATCGCTTACAACCTCCAATCTGTACTCTCTATAGTTTACGCTCCGGAAAATCTGTATAATCGATATAAACAAAATATCAGCAAAAAAATTAAACCAAATCAAATATAAACAAAATACGCTTTGGAAGAATCGGTTAAGCGATGGGCAGACGATTCTGCCTCACACAAGATCTCTTAAGTGATCTGAAATCGCTTAAGAGATTTCAGATCGCTTAAGAGTAAAAGCGACGAATCGCTTAAGCGATATAGAAGATCGCTTAAGCGATTCGTCAATTTTGATCTCTTCCGAGGCAAAATCAACATCTGCCCAGATCTAAGATCGCTTAAGCGATCTTCTATATTACTTAAGCGATTCGACACTTTTACTCTTAAGCGATCTGAAATTGTTTAAGCGATACAAAGGATCGCTTAAGAGATTATAGATCTGGGCAGATTTGGTTCTGCCTCGGAAGAGATCGCTTAAGCGACCAAGAGTAAAAGCGATTCATCACTTCTACTCTTGGTCGCTTAAGCGAGTACAAATCGCTTAAGAGATCTTGTACGAGGCAGAATCAACATCTGTCAGATCTAAGATCGCTTAAGCGATTGTTTATATCGCTTAAGCGATTCATCGCTTTTACTCTTAAGTAATCCTAAATAGCTTAAGCGACCAAGAGTAAAAGCCATCAATCGCTTAAGCGATACAAAGGATCGCTTAAGCGAAGCGATCTTAGGTCTCGGCGAGTACAAATACCTTTTCTTTGGCGACCTCCTCCTCTTTGGTGGCCTCCTCCTCCGCGGCCACCTCCTCCTCGTTTGAACTCTCGTCGGACTCCTCTTCCTGGCCTGAATTCTGGCCGACCACCTCTTCCTCTTCAGAATCGTTTTGCTCTTGTTCTCTCTCTTGTTGTGCCGCCGTCGTCTCCGCTGCTAGAACACCTTCACTGATCAGAGGATCCACCGGAATAGCCATTGAACTGCTTACGCAGCCGGACTGTACGATTCAAAGAGGCGTTGGGTTTTTTTTCCTCATTGTGAATGTCAGCCATGGTTTTAAGAAAGGAATAAGCATTTTCTCAAGAAAAGCTGCTTCTTTCCCAATTAAATTATATTCTATTACGTAACAAGAAGAAAATTTTGAATTATGAATGTAAGTGTCGCACTCCTAAAGAAAAGCCGCTTCTTTTCCAATTAAATTATATTCTATTACGTAACAAGAACCAATTAAAGACATGACGTGTCTTTCATTTAAACTCAAGTGTCTTTTGAGACACTAGTCAACGTTGTAGTTTGTCTAAAGAGGATAAATACTTTTGTATGCTATAAAATGTAATCGAACACTTCACTTCAGTTAAGCTCAATGTCGTGTCTGCCATCACTTCTGCAACATGATTTCTATGAATGTCTTTTTGTCTTGACTAAATTACCCTCTTCTTCTTTTCTCTTTTCTTCTACTTCAAGTGCCACTTCTCACGCCACCTCACCACCATTTTCTTGTAAAACTTGTCTTGCTTTCCTTAAAATCTTATAAGAGAGTGGTTGATAAATAAGCAACCCAAGGCCTAAACAATGGGTATGGGAACAAGCACTTTTGTGATCAGATGGATCAACTTTCTCACCATGGTACTTTCTTAATTTCTCTTTATTTTGCTTTTGCTTTTGTTCTTGTTATTAAAAGTGCTTTCTTTCTTGCATTCAACAATGACCCTTTTGTATGATTGCTCCATTTCTTAATGTTCTCTTGGTTTTTTGTGGATTGGGTTGTAAACTTATAATGGGTTTGTTCTGTTTTTGAGGTTATGAAACTTGCTTTGTTATAATACTGTAATTCTTAGGTCTCCATTTTTTTTTTATTTTTTTTTGGGTTTGTTTTGTTATCTAGATGGTGTCAGTTTTTTATTTTATTATTATTATTATTATTTTTAAATATCTGCGTGCTTTTTGTACCGTTTTCTTTGGCATTTGTACTATTTACAGCAGAATAGAAATTTTGAATTTTTATTCCGATTATTATAGTACAACACTTGAAATTTTTACTGTAAGTTGCTGGACTAAGTGGATTTCAATGTGTAATAGAAGTAACTTATTAGGGAAAAACAATGAAGCAAATGGATTGATTTTTTATTTGAGTACTTGTGAATTTATTCTTGTTTCTATCTCTAACGTGCAGCTTTTAGCTATTGCTGTGATAATTTTTGGGGTATGGATGAGCACTCATCATGACAACTGTCGAAGGTCCCTTACTCTCCCTGTCTTAGGCCTTGGTGCCTTCATCTTTGTAATGTAAGGATCAATTTGAAAGCAAGGCTTATTTTAGTACTAAACTCTTTTCTTTTGATATTACTGCATTATTTGTTTCTGATACTTTCGTTTTTTCCCTTTGGATTTTAGATCTATAATTGGCTTCTTGGGTGCATTGAAAAACAACTCCATACTGTTGTGGATTGTATCCTTATAATTCAAATGATCTTTTGACATTTAAGTTAAATAGATTTTGATTTTTTTTCTGCAGAAACCATTTCTTTGACTCTTCACTTACAGTATCTCATCATGTTGTGCATGGTTTTGGTCGCAATTTTGGTATTCACGGTGCTGGCGTAAGTATTCTACTGCAGTTTTAGAAGTTGATTTCTGTTCTAATTTTAGCGTAGATGCATAAAAACCTTTCTCTTGAACTTTATGGATTTTTGTTAGAACCTCATTTGATTTGTTCTTTGGTTATTCTGAAATTATTATTATTATTATGATTTTTATAAAACTTGAATCAGAATTTTCTAGAATCATTTTGGGATATCAACATGCTGTAGTACCATATATGCTTATCAGTTTATTGAGTAGCTGATACGCTGCTTGTTCTTACTCCCAAATATATCGACAAGAGATAGTTGCTGTATAGAAATGCAGTGAGGGTTACTTTTCACCTTAGCTAATTGATGATCTTGTTTTTAGACAATTAATTCTTGAAAAAGTAGCTCCTTTCTGTTCATAAAATTGTTTATCATCAGTGTTTTTAGGTGGTCATTGAAATGCGTTATGGCGCCGCTTAGGCATAATTCATAAGAAAGCCTTGGAATGACTGGTGGGCTGATTCATATTTGGAAGATAAACTCTGTATTGGTTTAGAAATATTTGTTTTTTCAGAATTTTCTGTATCGTTTTTCTTTTTGTGGATACTTAGGAATACAACTTCTCCATCAAAGAGACAACGTTGAAACCTAAACTTTTGCAGATTTAGAAAATGTTAATAGTTTTTTCTTTTCTTTTGAAAAATCTTCCTGCATTAAATACAAGATTCAATAATGCCTTGTGTTGTGTTGACTGCTGTTAAAGAGGGAAAATATTTTTGGTTTGCTGGATTGGTATCTTTTTGAAGGAGAAGGTTCATTGTTCCTATATTAGAAGTAGCTTTCGCTAACACTAATTTTCAGTTCCTGATAAGTTAATGGATCTGGACTTTTGAGATACAATAATTCGAATTCCTTACTAGTTTTGTACGAAGTATAGACAGACTTCTAGAACACTACTAGTGTTAGTAGTGGGATAAAGATTTGTTCTCATTACAATGCAAATAGTAATATTAGGGAGTGAAATTGGAAATTACTAATTAGCATACATTAGCCTCCAGGGTTTTAGCCTTTGTATATATAAATGTAAACAGGGATTTAATAAGACAAGATTTGAAAAATGTTCAGGTTCATGAAAATCTGAAAATAATGATTTGATACAACTTAATCCTTGCTTTTTGTTGTAGGTTTATTGTTACAAATAATGGATCGGGTCATAGTGTGGCTGGTTTGAGGTAAGAAAAGACTAAATCTTTTTTTTTTTTCTTGGGTGGTAACTTTCTGTTGCTTAGGAGCTTTAATTCATCGTAGAAAGGTGCAATATGTTTGTACTTGCGGAATAAATGGCTTGTCACATTTTAATTGAATAAATGAGCCAAAAAGCCTTCTTTCTTGTTCTGATTTTTTCTTTGCTTGGCACTCTGATACTGCTATGATAACAACTTCTGTTTTCTTAACTGGTTAGGTACAAGGAGTATCAGCTTAAAGATTACAGTTCATGGTTTCTGAAACAGGTGAAGTTTCCTTTTCTTATTTCTCATTTACAGTACCGAAGAGAGATATGAATTTTATTTATGCAGTTTGTGGCATCCACTCCCCGAACCCCCAAAGAAAAAGAGAGGTTTGTTATACTGTCATTAATGGAATTTCCTTGTTTCAGCTGAACAATACCGAAAACTGGAAGCGCTTGAAGAGCTGTCTTGTAAAAACTCAAGACTGCAATAATCTAGCAAAAAAATATAAGGTGAATTTTCAACGTCAAGCTCTCATCACTCATCTTTTTCCACAAAATCAATGGTTATATTTACATTCGTTTATCACAGACTCTTAAGCAGTACAAGTCAGCAAAACTGACCCCCATTGAAGCAGGTTGTTGCGGACCACCATCTGAGTATGTGCCTTCGCAGTGTTTAATCAGTTTCATTTTAATGTTACCTCCAATGGACTGAAATTTTAATTCACCAATTCAGTAGCTAACTCCATAGTTTTCCAATGAACTCTGTTATTTATGTTAATAGAATTTCACTAACCAAGTTTGCATGATATAAATGTACACATTTTTTTCACTCATAAATTAAAGTATTATATGTTGAGTAAATATGTATATCAGGTTTGTGCTAGATAGTTCATTTTTGCTATAAATTTAACTAAGTATATTCATAATAACTGAAATATTTTATTACTGATTTGATTCTTTTGTTCGGATTCACCTTAATCTATAGATGCGGTTATCCACCGGTAAATGCATCATACTATGACTTGAGCTTTCATCCTATTAGTTCCAACAAAGACTGCAAGCTTTATAAAAATTCACGAGCTGTCAAGTGCTACAATTGTGATTCCTGCAAGTAAATATCATCTCTTACCCATCTTCTCATTTTGGTTTCCTCTTTTACTTAGATGTCCTCATTGACATCTTTTTCTTCTATCATTTTACAGGGCTGGAGTTGCACAATACATGAAAACTGAGTGGAGAATAGTTGCTATTTTAAATTTGGTTCTGTTTATTGTTTTGGTAAGAAACCATTCACCAATTTCTGGTAGTCATCAAATTATTTTTTAATCATTAATTAATCCTACTGTGAAAAAATCATAGAAACTTGAATTTATATTAAACTGTGATTATTACAAAAAAATTGATGTATTGAGTTGCTTCAGGTTCTTTATGGTACCTTATAACAATTTTGACCACCCTGAATTGCTGCTATTTCTGCTTTAGTACACTTATATCAAAAATGCTTTATCCTGATTAATCTCTTGTGTCTTATTTTTCACTGCCAGTCAATTATATACTTTGTGGGATGCTGTGCAAGGCGAAATGCTGTTAGAAGACGCTCCAAAATTTGAAAACGCTCCATCAATGTGCTCAAATATATGTCTCGAAGAAGGAAATCTACTCTTGTTCAAGAATATTCTGATGTTTTGTTGGAGTGGTTTCTTTTAATTACTATTTGACTAAAGCAAAACAGATAGATAAACAATTGTTATTCTCTCGTTTGATGGTTCTAAAAGCTTGTGGCTGGAGGTCTCTATTTGAATTGCTGAATGTTGTCTCAGTAAAATGTGTTTATTCTTCTGAGAGAAAATTACTTGAACAAATTATGCAGTATCTGTAATTATTCCCGCTGGAGTATTGACTATTGAGTGTTTTTTCTCTCGCATCTTTCTCTACCTTGCACTGAAGGAAGTACTAAAAATAACAAACATTGAAACTTGAAACTTTTACTTTAAATTAAAAAGAAAGATTATTGTTTCTCGGTTCCATTCCTTATGATGCCACTTCTCACAAGAAATGACAAGGTAATGTATAATTCAGGTATCACTAATATTTCCATTCGTAAATTCAATACTTGTGAGCAGCCTTAGATCAGAAGCTGGATACATTCATCTCATTGAAGAAGAGCCCCGAACGGGTGTCTTCTGGCGACAAAGCCAACATAACAGCAAATCTCGCACCTTCTTCAGCAGTCAAGTTGCCGGTATAGCAGGTCATCTCTGTTTTGACCACTCCTGGGTGGACATTGTTTACCTGGAAACTGGTATGTTTTCTTGCTATGATTCTTGTATAAGCATTCACAGTAGCTTTGGACACTTTATAAGCAGATACAGGCAGATACAGTAATCGGCCACCCATTATCCTGCAACTTATTCTCCTTAAAATCACTCAGAAACCACTGCAGAATTTCGTCCAGTTTCTCCACTGTTAGGCTATCGAAATCTTCAAGCCCAGCTTTAACCTTTTCATAGTTGATATACTGAAATTGAACCATAAGTTATAATCATAACATGTTTCTGGGTTAAAATCTCTCTTATCACCAATTTATCTCATTCTTTGAGTTACCTTTACCTGACCATAAAAGGAGGACATGTTCATAATTCTAGGCGACTGGGAGAGTTGCAGTTAGGGGAGAAGTCCTTCAGTGACTCTTTTAGTTCCATAGTAATTTGTCTCCACGCATTCTTTTGCCTTCTCATATGTTTGCTCCACAACCCTTTTAACAAGTTGGCATTTTCATCACTAACCTGCATGAATTTAGCATCAGTCAGTTCTATCAAATTCTTAACAAAAATGTTGACACAGGCAAGGTTCTCAATAGAACAGCCAATCTATAGACCTTAATCCCCTTGAGTTTGAATGCTCTAACAGCTTCACAGTTCATAATGAGTCCGCCGTCACCCGCATTGTTCACCTGCGTAAAAGGAATCTATATTGATACCACATCTTCTTCAAGTGGCACATCAACAAAATAAACTTTAATTACCAGGATATCAAGCTTGCCGAATTGAGTTTGAATGAAAGTTGCCAAGGAAGTTACACTGGCAGAATCTTTTACATCAAGTTTTTGAAATACTACATCGGAAAGGCCGGATTGTCTTATATTTTCGACAGCTTCGACGCCCCTTTTCTCATTTCTAGCAGTTAAGATGACCATGATTCCATTTGATGCTAACCGGCGACATATCTCAAGTCCAATACCTTTGTTTGCCCCAGTAACAACAGCACACCTGAATCAACAGTGCATATTGTTGAATTTTAATACAAATAGGCAACAAAACAGCAGCAGCACACTCACCAAAAAAAAAAAAAAAAAAAACAACAGCAGCAGCAAACAGTGGAAGAACAGCAACAAACAGCAGAGAGAACAGCAGCGAAACAGCAGCAAAACAGTAATTATACAGCAGTGAAACAGCAACGAACACGCAGCAAAACAACAATGATACAGCAGTGTCAAGACATGCAAAACACTGTCCTTAAGATCAGAATTCCACCCCTATTGAAGAATCTTCTGGTGCAAAAGACTACAATGGACTGATCTCTAGATACAATGATGACCCTTCTTAGAGTGCACACTCTAATAGAGGTTTAGATTAATATAAGACAAAGTAGTAGTGGTGAAGGAGAGTTGAAAGATAGGAGAGTGAAGAAAAATGCAAAAGCACATACATTCTGTCAAGTGAGAAGATTGTGTGTTGAAAAGAGAACCAACACCCTCTTTTTATACTTGACAATTTCCCTTTTTCCCCTCTTAATTTCCACAGTAACAGTCATTTTATTTAATAAAAATTGAAACTGTCACCACCTATTTAAAGCTCCAAAGTCTCATTAATTCATTGCTAACAGTCATTTTTTAAATTAAAAAATTGAAACTGTTGTTACTTTAATTATATAACAGTCCAAAAAACAATTAACACTTGTATTATCACACATACACTAATAAGCCCAAGTTGCGAGTAAAGATACAAATCATGAGGAGACCATACCTTTTTGCCGTTGACCTGTTATTGGTTTCTTCTTCCATATATGATAGAAAGGGCTTCGTTTGGGTAGATTTTGGGAATACTACTTTTAGTATTCCCAAAAAAATTAAACAGTAAAATACTTAAAAACTCACAATATTATTCAACTTTATTCAATATTTTTTAAACCCCATAAATTTGTTAATTCAATTAAATACCCCTAAATATTTTTAATGTTTTTGTTACGGCGACTCCGGCCACCCTCCGGAGGTGGTGGCCGGCTGTCCGTATTTGAGGGTGGATTAGGAGTGTTTTTGTTAACTTTTAATGTTTTATTATAAGGGGTGTTTTGTAAAAAAACAAACATAGGGGGTATTTTACAATTTATAAATCCTACATCGTAATACCCGCTCAATTCAACTTTTTTTTTTAACTTTTTTCAAAAAACTTTTTCCAAAAACACAAAATTGTGAATCAAACGGAGCCAAGAGCTGTGAGTCTTGTCTCTTGGCTCAAAGGCCTGCGGACCAATCATGATTTTATCCCTTTTGCCTTCTTGAGGGAAAAGCATATCATTGTTTTATTTTATTTTTAGTTCTCATGAGGCAAAAGGAAATGAATAATGCCACGGATATCAAATTTTTATATCGAATTTTTATATCAAAGGACGTGACATCTAATCAGACACAATCATATTGGAGACAAAACATATCTTTTATGACTGAACGATCGTCTAACAATTATGGACGTCTATCCATATTTGATGGATGAACGTTCATCACGAATGAACGAATGTCCACAAAAATATTAATAAACTCCCATCCATATTATATGGACATGTGTCTATTTACTATAGACGGACGTCCATATAAGATGGAAACCCTTCTAGAAAATTTAAAAAACAAAATAATGGACACCCATCCACCTTAGATGGACGGGCGTCCATATACATTGGCTACTTATTTTTATTTGTCCTCTTGCTCAATTCAATATTCCATTTTTAGAATGTCTGTCCATCTTATATGGACGGTCGTCTATATACATTGGATGCTTCATTTTTATTTGTCCTCTCGTTCAATTCAATATTCCATTTTTATTTGTCCTCTTGCTCAATTCAATGCAATTTCAATTTTTATATTACACTATTACCATGGCATTCAGCTCTAGTCAATGCTCATCTTGAAATACTCTTGATTTTTGGCTGCTTCATTCAAAGTTGGGAAATTTCAAACCTGTAAAGAATCTCCAAAGGAAAATGTTATGAATAGAAAAGTGTGAATGGACGCCGTCTATATAAAATATATGGCTGTCCATTATTTTATTTTTAAAATTTTATGAACAGACGTTCATATAAGGTAGACGTCTGTCCATTCGTGATGAACGGTCGTCCATCAAATATGGACGGACGTTCATAATTGTTGGATAATCGTTCATTCATAGAAAATGTGTATTATCTTTGACGTAACCGTGTTTAATTGGATGTTACGTATGTCAGTATAAAAATTTGGTACAAATTATCGGTGTCCATAGCGAGTTAGTAAATAGTCACTTTCTGCATCTGCATAGAGTTAGAGTTGTAAAGATAAAGATATTTTATTAAGCGTAGTGATGATACTATATTTGCACGTTTTAAATGAAGCTGATATTAAAAATATCATAAAAACAGCCGTGAATTTGTGGGCAATCAACATGAAGCTCTTTTCTTTCTTAAGTTTAACATACTGTTCTAGTGTTAATGTCTTCCCCTTATTCATGTGAAAAACTCATGGTCTGCAATTATATGAATAAATGATTAGGTAAGGAATATTTCTCTTTCTAATTGGGACTTGATTTCTAATTTTATATTATTTTCTTTTTGTAATTTTATTTGTTTTCCTTTTTGGGACTAGGAAGACTTTTATTTTAGGAAAGTTAATTATTTGAATATTAGACATTATTTTCCTATTAGCTATTTTCTTATTCTATTAGGAATTACCTTTTATTAAGGATAGTTATCCTATTAACATCCATGTAATTTCAAAGTTTTATTCATTCAAGTTTTCAATAAAATCTCTTATTACTTCCTTCAAGAATTTATCTCAATCACATTTTCGACATTAGTCACTTGAGTTTGAGTCCTAAGGTTAGAACCACATCTAACCAAGTCTTCCATTGCGTCAAGTTGTATCAGAGCATACCTCTATGCCAAATACAATGTTCTTGGACCTAAAACACCCTACCTCCACAATTTCATCCGAGTTGCCCAACCATAAGACCATTAAACACATTTAATTTTCCAGCCCCCACACTTACCGAAGTCATAATTCTGCCATTCCCTTCAAGTGTGAAAATAGTAGTTTAGTCCAAATTCGTTCCCTTAATTAATTAAGTCCAGTCAGGTCAATTGTTTTTCTGTTCAGTCCGTCAATGTTGTTGTCTTAAGTTCAGTTCGTCAGTCTCATAATTGTACAATTTCATTCATTAGTCTTACCAAGTTTTCGTTCAGCCCACTAGTTTCTTTTTACAGTCTAGTCCACCAGTTTTTTTTTCTTTTTTCTTTTTTTTATTAAATAAAAACCCACACATACACAATGGCACGAGGAAGTAGAACCAAGATGCTACTCGAGAAGTTACCCCAGAATGATTTGGGATGTTAGAAGCTAATGTTCAACTTATGGAGCTATTGATGATTGATTTACAAAACGACCTTAACACTATCTGAGATGCTGTTGTAAGTTGTTGGTCGAGAAATTGACAATACTTAGGATGTAGTCAGGCTAGCTAGGAATGATAAAACTCATTCAAGAAACAGCAGAATTTTTCAAGAAGACTCGTCTGATGAAGAACTAGAGACATAGAGCTATCAAAAAAATCAGAGGGATAATCAGCAGCATGACAATGGTATTCAAGTGGAGCTTCCATCCTTTAATGGGCAATTGGAAATCAAAGAATTCCTTGATTGGGAAAGTGCGGTGATAAAATACTTCAAGTGGTTTAATGTTGAAGAAGATAGAAAAGTGAAGTTGGTAGCTTACAAATTAAAAGGAAAGAGAAATGATGTAGACCCTCTAGGCGAATTACCCTAGGAACCCTCGAACTTAATGGAATAGGAACAAGTTGGTTTGCTAGGACCGTGTTGAGGATGATCGAATTAGAACCCTAAGGAAACTAAGTCCTTAAAACCCTAATCTTGAGACGCTACAAAGGTTGATCACTCCCTTTGATAAGCCGAGATTCAAGCATTCAATCAAGAACACAAGAAGGCAAAACAAATAGCTTTCTAAAATAAACTTCAATTGATTACAATCTGTCCCAAAAAAATAACATGGTCGCCCCTTTTTATAAGCAACAAACCGTAAAAGAAAACCATAGCTAATTGAAAAATGGGTTGGGCTTAAGTACAAGTGAATTGAGTCTAAATAAACCTTAAATAAATAAAAGACTAAAGAATCTAATGATAATTAAAACATAAAAAACCCAAGATTAAATAAACGAAAGTTAATTCCTAAATTAATCCTTGCATCCAACTTGATCTTCCGAATCTACCCCTTGCATAAAAATATAATAGACCATCCATGGTGAAGCCTTGAAATCTTCGAATTTAGTCTTAAAGTCTTCTAGTACAACCTCTTTGTATCGCACTTCCATGATCAAGCCTTGCAAAGCCTCTTTCATCCTCTTTGTCTTTGCCCTAGTCATTGGACCGCCAATTGCTGCAAAGGATCTTGAGAATATTTGGGAACATCAATTTGGTCAGCACCTCAATCTCCATTATTCCCCTCCTCTTCGAAAGGATTCGTCCTCGAATCACCTACGTCAAACAAAGATAAATCAGCAACATTAAAAGTTGCACTAACATTACCATAGTCGCTTGGCAAATCTAGCTTGTAGGCATTATCATTGATCCGCTCCAAGACTTGAAAAGGTCCATCTTCTCTAGTTTTCAATTTTGATTTCCTTTATGTGGGAAACCTCTCCTTATGCATGTGCACCCAAACCCAATCTCCAGGTTGGAAGACAACCTTCAAACGCCCCTTATTGGCTTACTTAGCATATTACTCATTCTTCCTTTCAATGTTGGCTCGAACTCTGGCATGTAAATCCTTCACAAAATCTGCCTTTTTCTTACCATCAAGATTAGCATGCTCATTAGTAGGCCAAGGTAAAATATCCACAGGTGTTAAAGCATTAAAGCCATAAACAATTTCAAAAGGAGAAAATGAAGAAGTAGAATGAACAGTCCTATTTTATGCAAACTCAATATGTGGCAAACATTTCTCCCACTACCTTAAGTTCTTTTGAATGATAGCAAGCAACAAAGTAGTAAGTGTCCTATTAACTACTTCAGTTTGGCCATCTGTTTTAGGATGTGCAACAGTAGAAAATAACAGTTTGATTCCTAATTTATTCCATAAAGTGCGCCAAAAAGGACTTAGGAATTTAACATCTTTATCACTAACAATTGTCTTAGGCAACCCATGCAAACGAACCAGTTCTTTAAAGAACAAATCAACAATATGTGTTGCGTCATTAGTTTTAGAACATGCAATAAAATGAGTCATTTTACTAAACCTATCAACAACAACAAATATGCTATCCTTACCACTTTGAGTCCTTGGTAATCCTAAAAAAAGATCCATAGATATATTAATCCAAGGTTGATTAGGTACAGGTAAAGGGGTATACAAGCCATGCGGTCTAACTTTAGATTTTGCTTGCCTACATGTAATGCGCTTATCACAAATAGATTGCACATCATGCTTCATATTAGGCTAATAAAAATGCTCATGTAATATATCTAAAGTCTTTAGAACACCAAAGTGACCCATCAAA